TATATATATATATATATTCATATATATTATATATATTTATATATGTTATATATATTTATATATATATAATATATATATAATATATTCAATTCCCCGTCGAGGTGGTCGTAAAAATGCCTGCGCTCTGATTGCTGGCTCGAGCCCGAGACTACGACATATCGGCTTGAGAAGTCAAACGCAGGTGTCGTAGAGGAGGTCACCGCCGTGGCACAAGTGTTAGCGTGCCAAATCGCGGTTGATTAGGAAGGGCATTCAATCAGGCAAGGGTGACACTACCATATAACCTCTTAGTAGTGAACTGAGAGAGGCCTATGTCCTGTAGTGGAATGAATGGCTGTTGAAAAATAAAACATATATAAATTTACACATATATATGTGGATACATACATACATGTGTGTGTGTGTATGTATGTATGTAGATAGATAGATAGATATGTCTACTCATAGATTTCCATAATTCTCATAAATTACCTGCTCCGAGGATAAATAAAATACTTTGGAAAGTATATATTCAAAATAATTTATTACCAAAAATGCCCATATAGATACAAACAAGTAATCCATATTGCAATGTACAGCTATTTACAAAAACTCCCATGCATTTGTGATGACTAGCATATGCAAAATAAAGATAGAATGGAAGAATGCAAAAAGTTGCCAAGTTGACAAATCCAGGAAGTTGAATCATACTTAAATTATATTAGATAAACATTACAACTAAAACATGTAAACTCATTGGTAGTTTTCACTGCGTCTTAAGCCTGATGTGTACATATATATATATATATATATATATATATATATATATATATATATATATATATATATATATATATATATATATATATATGTACTTACATATACATACACACATATATGTATATATGTGTGCATATATATATATATATATATATATATATATATATATATATATATATATATATATATATATATATTTGTGTGTGTGTGTGTGTGTGTGTGTGTGTGTGTGTGTGTGTGTGTGTGTGTGTGTGTGTGTGTGTGTGTGTGTGTGTGTGTGTGTGTGTGTGTACACGTGTGTGTGTGTACACGTGTATGTGTGTGTACACGTGTATGTGTGTGTGCACGAGTATGTGTGTGTGCACGAGTATGTGTGTGTGCACGAGTATGTGTGTGTGCACGTATGTGTGTGTGTGCACGTATGTGTGTGTGTGCACGTATGTGTGTGTGTGCACGTATGTGTGTGTGTGCACGTATGTGTGTGTGCACGTATGTGTGTGTGTACGTATGTGTGTGTACACGTGTGTATGTATGTGTGTGCACGTGTGCGTATGTATGTGTGTGCACGTGTGCGTATGTATGTGTGCACGTGTGTGTGTGCACGTGTGTGTGTGCACGTGTGTATGTGCACGTGTGTGTGTGCACGTGTGTGTGTGTGTGTGTGTGTGTGTGTGTGTGTGTGTGTGTGTGTGTGTGTGTGTGTGTGTGTGTGTGTGCACGTGTGTGTGTGTGTGTGTGTGTGTGTGTGTGTGTGTGTGTGTGTGTGTGTGTGTGTGTGTGTGTGTGTGTGTGTGTGTGTGTGTGTGTGTGTGTGTGTGTGTGTGTGTGTGTGTGTGTGTGTGTGTGTGTGTGTTGGACAGAGTACAATAAAGAAGCAACCAAATGACTTTCGTTTCGAGGAAATATTTACGAGATAATTTATTGCTCTCTTATGTTCTTCTCAAATAGGATATATCTCCAGTGGCATCTTACAGCTATATACCTAATTATAGCACGTAGTTGAATTCTTAAAGCGAAAGTGAAAGTTTCTATTCTTTCCAGTAAGGACTTCCTCACTACCGTCTCTCCGTTTTGTTAAAAGTCTTTAATTAATTCACATGATCATAAACAATAGAGTTTTTTTTTCCCTTTTGTTGAATATAGGAATAGTTGAGAGGAATAAACACGTCAGATTTTCATGTTTCTTCCTTTGGTTAACAAATAATTAACTAGTACAGGGTCTTCATTTGTACATATTTAATTACACAAAATGGTATCGTGTTTGATATATTTTTTTTTTCATCAACATTTAAACAATGAGTACCTGAAATTGAACAACAAGAAGACATTAAAAAGAAAGAAAGAAAAAATTGGTATCGTTTCCGAAAAAGAGGTCCCACCCTGCTTTAAGACGAATGTCCTTCTAAGACAGAAATCATTAACAAAAATACTAGATTTGTTGTCTAAATAGTAAAACAGTGATCGGACAGGAGACCGGAAGTAAGAGAAAGAGACAGAGAGAGAGAGAGAGAGAAAGAGAGAGAGTGATGAAAGCATAAACGGGGAAAAAATAATAAATGCATTTTCTTTCTTCCATATAGAGATTATATATATATATATATATATATATATATATATATATATATATATATATATATATATATATATATATATATATATACATATATATATATATATATATATATATATATATATATATATATATATATATATATATATATATATATATATATATATATATATATACATACACATAAACGGAGTAATAAAAGAAAAGAAAAGAAATTACAAACGCCATTTCTCCCATTTCTTACAGTAATTACACCAAAACACAAAGAATAATGGGAATTTCTAGGATGGACAAATGTACACACACACTATAACGTGTTCATCCTGGTGCTATTTGACATGTTCACAGCAGAAAAAAAAGCCTAAGATGTTCTATCCTGGTGAAGTAACGCGTCTTTGAGTACAACTTCAAGAACATGAAATTTGCAATGGTCATTATGCAGTTGCAGCCGAATATATGACGTCACCAGTCTCGCCGCCGTGGGGTTGGTTAGGGCGGAGAATTAGACAGAAGAGCCGCCCTGGTGAGAAGGTCCCCGACGTCTAAAAAGGGGACAAAGAAGCGCACACACACATAAAAAAGGAAAAAAAAATCATCAGCGCTCTGAATCGTCGCTATATTTCTCTGTCTTCTAACGTAATAGATTTTTTTTTTAACCTTTCCCTCTCTTTTCTTCTTTTTTTTACCTTCTCTTTTCTTCTTCTGGCTTTTTTTTTCATTTCTTTTTCTTCTTCTTCTTAAGGGTGAAACATTGAAAACTTTGTCGTCTGGAAACTTGCAGAGAACACTTTCTTATTCTTTGTGGAAGCTGGTGGCTCTTATATCATACTGCAATATATGCCTGGACGCTGCGTGTAGATATGTGTGTGTTTAGAATAGAAGGAAGTGCTGATTCTCCTTCGATAGTTAGGTATGGAAAATAATCATATACTTATATTTGCTTTGTTTTTTTAATCGATTAATGTATTTTGAGTCTTTTTTTTCTTTCTTTCTTTTTAACATTTTTATATAATAGTTCATTTGCTCGTTTGTTTAGGATACTTATTCTTTGTCACTGGCATCGATCTTTTTAAAATAATGACAGATAAGGATATCATTATCGCTACTATCTCCATTATCAGCGAAAAAAAACAGCAAAAAATACCAACCGATAAATGAACAAATAATCAACGCTTCCATTCATAAAAAAAATAACACACATGAACAACGCTGCACAAACGTCCTCTTGATCAGCCTTCAGAGGGGACACATTCATCTCATGAGAAGTTATAATAGAGTCCATTTGGAGATTGAAAAAAAAAAAGTTTTGGTCGCCATTCCCTCTGCCTTGTGCTCCCCTTCACCACACATTTCAATTTATCTTTGGAAAGCAATGGTTTGTCTGAAGTTCGAATCAAATCGAGGGAGATTATGAATGGTGTGTTGTTTGCCGCGTTGTATGGGAGAGAGGGAGGGAGGGAGGGAGGGAGGGAGGGAGGAGAGGGAGAGAAGGGAGGGGGGAGGAGAGGGGGGAGGGAAGGAGAGGTTGCAGGGAGGAGCAAGTAGGTGGGGGGAGGGAGGGAGGGAAGGAGAGAAGGAGTGAATGGAAGATAGAAATGGGTGAGAGTAGGAGGGAAGGAGAGGAGGGAAGAGGGAAAGACGTAGAGTGGGAGGGAGAGAGAGAGAGAGAGAGAGAGAGAGAGAGAGAGAGAGAGAGAGAGAGAGAGAGAGAGATAGATAGATAGATAGAGAGAGAGAGAGAGAGAGAGATAGAGATAGATAGATAGAGAGAGAGAGAGAGAGAGAGAGAGAGAGAGAGAGAGAGAGAGAGAGAGAGAGAGAGAGAGAGAGAGAGTTAGAGAGAGAGAGAGAGAGAACCTGACTGGTAAAAAAAATACAGATATCATTTCCTACGTATACAAATACGCCAGAATATGTGTATATCTCTACTTGGTGTACGTCCCTATGACCGTATTTGCGAGTGCATTTGCGAGCGTGTTTGAGTTCCCTGCCGTACCAATCTTGACATAAGTTGACGAGATTTGCATCTAAGTTTCGAACCACAATTCGAGCCTCTTAATTGTCATCCCCCTAACAAGCCATTAGCACGTTAATTGGGTGATTGTTATCTTGTCCGTATTGGTAGGGAATGATGGGGGTTCGTTGTTGACGGGGTGGGGGTGGGGGGGAGTGGGGAAGGTGCATGGTACCAAAAGAAGTATTGTCAGGGACCGGTTTATCAAAATCGATTGTATTTCGGCAAGTAAGGAGGGCTTAGATCTTGTATATCTTTTTATTTATTTATTTATTTATTTATTTTTTATCCTTATCCTTTTTTTTCGTCTTTTTCCACCATCCTAACGGTATCTCCTTTGAATTTGAATTTCCCGCCAAAATATATTTTTTTCTCTTTACCCGCCAAAATCGCTTTGAACTTGCATTTTCCGCCAAAATCTCAACTTTCTTTCCCGCCCAAGCTACTTTGAATTTCAATTTCCCCGCCAGATTCTCACCTTTCTTCACTTCCTGCTAACACTACTTTGAACTTTCCTGACAAATTCTCACATTTTTTTCCTCCCCCCCCCCCCGCAAAAGCCTCTTTGAATTTGAATTTTCCCACCAAAATCTTACCTTTTATTATTTTTTTTTCTTTCCTTTCCTTTCGCCAAATCTTACCTTTTATTTTTTCCCCCCTTTTTTCTTTCCTTTCCTTTCGCCAAATCTTACCTTTTATTTTTTTCCCCCTTTTTCTTTCCTTTCCTTTCGCCAAATCTTACCTTTTATTTTTTTTTTCCTTTTTCCTTTCCCTTCCTTTCGCCAAAGCCTTCGCTCGGACTCGTGGAGAGACACAAACTTAGGAGGCAACTTGGCACTCGAGTAATTGTTAACGCTCTGCAGAACACCGCGTCATTGTTGCAGCAAATTAGAGAAACGAGGCATTTCCTCTGAAGGTGATGAAAAAAAAGGAAAAAGAAAAAAAAAGTGAGAAGGAAAGGAAAGGAAAAAAAAGGAGAAAACTCGACTTTAATTACATGGCGAAGTTTCCTGCCTTTCCTGTTTGCTAAATGAGTCAGATGAGAGGGACGTTCAGTGAGAATGCAAATGTGTGTGTGCGTGCGTGTATGTGTGTGTGTATGTGTGTGTGTGTGTGTGTGTGTGTGTGTGTGTGTGTGTGTGTGTGTGTGTGTGTGTGTGTGTGTGTGTGTGTGTGTGTGTGTGTGATATAGATAGGTATATATATATACATAGAGAGAGAGAGAAAGAGAGAAAGAGAGAAGGAATGAAAGTGAGAAAGAAAGAAAAAGAAAGAGAAAGGGAGTGGGACAAGGGTGGAAAAGAATAGAAAAAAAAACTGAAACATGAGAAATGGACAGCGATCATGGTATATTAGGGGTAAAAATGGAAATAGTTGCAACACAGTCTTTTACTGACCGAATCTGAAATAAGCTCCGCCCCCTCTCTCTCCCTCCCCAGCCTTCCTCTTCGATAAAAAGAGAGCTTTTGAACAAATACATATATATGTGCATTTAGTTCATTAATAAAAATGCTGTTCTATCCAATATCAATTAACGGCTATGAGCTGATTGATCTTTTCAATTATGGTGTTAATATGTGATTAGGTCCCAAAGGTAATAAATAAGTTTGATAATATATCGAATTAACGCTGTTCAAAGTCAAATATCATTAGTAAAATGCGATGACCTATATCATATAAACACGCATATGTACACGCACGTCTCAGTGTTCACACAGAAACGAATACTTAATTTCGTTAACGAGTGGCACAGCGTGACGTCACTCCTCGTCGCTTGGAAGGAACACATAGAACTCTTACGGAAGTCCTTCTCGGATTTCTTCATCCAAGGTTTCTTCTTTTTTTTTTTGGAAATTCTCTTTTTTCTCTTTCGTAGGAATTGAAAACCACAACAAAAAAGGAAGCTTTAGCAAAGGTCCAAGCACGTGCAAGGCTTCCCGCGCCCCGCCTCCTCGATGCCCTTCGGCGGTAGGCCTGTTTTCGCTGCCCTGCGTCGGTAGGCCTATCTTCGCGAGCCCGAAGACGGCCTCCTTGGAAACAGGCGTCCGCTGCGGCCTCCCCCCCCCCCCCCCGCCTTTCCCCGCCTTGACTTCCTTGCTCGGGGTTTCCACGGCCTCGCTTTTCCTGGCACGGAGCCGGTGCTCTTCTTTGCGGGCCACGACCTGCGAGCATTCCAGGTCATGCGCCCGTGGATATTCCAGGTCGTGGCCGCTCGCCTGACCTGAGCCCGAGGCCAGAGAGACGACAGAGAGCGGGCGGGAAGGCAGGGCGTGCAGTCTGACCATCGCGCTGGGCGGCCGCGCCCTCAGGGAAGGTGCCGCCTTTGTGTCCGCGCGGCTGGCACTCTCGGCTAAGGTCACACCAGCGTCCCGGGCTTCATCATGGCCTCGGGGGAGAAAATGTACTTGGTCTCGGGGGACGCCCGCTCGTCCCCGTGGGCGGCCGCGCTGTTGAGGGCGAGCGTGGCCGGGCCCGTCGGGGAGGTTCCCCGGGGCGAGCCCACCTTGGAGCCCCGGGGGTAGGGGGGCGGAGGCGGCGACCCGTAGCTGGAGTTGAGGTGGGCGGCGTAGGAGGAGTGCCGGGAGGCGAGGGCGTGGGCGGTGCCGTTGAGCCGCAGCGTGGGCGCGTCGTGGTAGGCGGAGCCCAAGAGGCTATTGGTGCCGTTGCCGACGCCGAGCTGACTGATCCTCGTGCCTCTCCTGATGGTGCAGAAGTCGGGCGCGGCGGGCGACAGCGACGGCTCGGGCGTGATGTAGGGGCCCAGGTCGCTGAAGGACGCCCGCCGACCGTTGGGCACGGGGGCGTAGTCTCGGCCGCTATAGTCTACGAAGGGCACATAGCCGGGGCCTCCTCCGTCAGCGTCCTGCGGGAGAGAAGGCTGCGTTAACCCGAGGGAAATGACTGCGGTTACTCGTGACCAGCTACCGCCTAAACCTGACTCCTTTCCCAGCTTCCGGAAATGAATTCTCAAAGAGTAACGTGCTTCTTGAGTCTATCACTAATGCACAAGGAGAGGCGTTCAGCCAAAGACCCTAATGAACATCCTCATTTCGTCGTTTAATGTCTATCTGTTATCTTTACTATCACTATATTTTGTTTTCAATTATCGGCATCTATGGTTTCATTGATATTTCTTTTGACATTGACCGAACGTGAC